AGATCATTAATCTTTGGTAAGTCTGTATCAACTCCATTTTTTCCTCCACAGAACTCAACATGTAATACTTAAAAGTTAATTCATTTTCCAAAGTTCTCTGAAGATCCACTGTTCAAAATCAAAACTTATAATACAAATATAAAACTGGTTTTTCAAAAACATACTTGGATTATCTGTTCCCAGTACCTATAAATGGTTTGTTTGCTAAACTTTTGCTGCACACTGAAGATCACAATAAACTTGCAATAGCAGAAATGTACCTCTTGTTGATTTTGCATATTTCCATGTTCTGGGGGTTTAAATATAGACAATTCCAAAACTGTCTGCCAAAAACTAATTCAAATGGATTGTTAAACATACACATATTGCAATGGTTCAGGCTCTTTACCCATTGAGAAATCTTTACTTTTCTATTCTCTAATTCAGCACGTTTGAGATGGTTCTGGTCTTAAATTTTCTAACCCCCATCATTACAACCCCTCCCTTAGAGTCCATCCTTGCAGGAAATTAAACTCATTCTTTCCTAAGGGCTCCCTAATAGCCATTTCTTTACTTTCAAATCCCTGTGACTTAAACTGCAAACTGAAATGAAGATTCTGGCCTTGGTTGGGAGCTTGCCTGAGCTCCACCTCCTGTCTGTGCTCAGGCCCTACCCCGCCTCTTCTGGCCCCCACCCAGAACAGCAGGAGGTGAGCAGCAGCCGCCAAGGGAACAAGAGAAGCTCACCTGAACTCCACCTCCTGACAGCCCTCCCCCTCCCCCCGGGGAGAAAAATTGGTCCCTGAGGTGAAAAGGGTGGGGACCCCTGGGTTAGAGCATCGTCCTGATATGCAAGGATTGCAGGTTCAAGTCCTGATCAGGGCACATACACAAATCAAGCAATGAATGCATCAGTAAGTGCAACAACAAACGTGTCTGTCTGTGTCTCTCTAAATATCAGTTAAAAAAAAAAAAGAATGATTCTTAAATACAAAATTGAGTGCACCTCCTCTCTTAAGGACCTTCTTATGTTCCCATTTCTTTGACTTCTGGAGAATCAGTCAAGACTATTTCCTTCACTTTGGCAGTCACTTAGACTTAAACCTGCCTGAGGGTTTGTGTATTCATTGACAGAGTAGTGGATGCAAAATCAGAGACTCAACTACTTTATTAGTTACGTGAGGAGTTTTGAAATTATTTACCTTTTCTGAACTTCAGTTTCTTTGCCTGTTATTTGATGTTAATGGCTGAATAAAATTGTGAAAATGCTTACTATATTCATAGGAGATACTCAATACCTGAAGGTTCCTTCTCAATCTTTATAGCCCATTATCAACTCCTATGCATCTTTCCTTCACATTAAACTCTTAAATTTGGCTCCTCTTCTCTATTTTCAATTAATCCAATTAAATCATCAGTTCCTGGATTCCTGAGATGACTTAATAACCTAATCTCTAGTATCTTCTGCAATTTATTTCACAACTTACATTATCTTATTTACTTATGAGCATGTTTGCCTACTTATCTTACATTAATCTCATTGAACCTTCAGTTCCACATCTTACATGAACAACTAACTCCCGATTGCCAATAATACATATTATTTATTGGCATATCTTAATCCACCTTACTTCCAATTATTGCCCTTCAGAAGGCCTGTAACTGTGTGACTGTGGTTAGGTTACTTATTCTCTCTGTTTCTCTGTTAAACTGTACCTTAGAATTGTTAAGATGAAATAAGAATAGACTTAGAACACTGCCAAGCACATAGTACTTTCTGAGTTGGAGGCAGTCATGCATAGCTAATGAGGCTTAACCTTCGGTGCAGCTCACTAGACCCCTTCCGAAGTGACAAAAGGTGCCCCAGCAACTTTGTGTCCACAATTTTATATTATTTCCTTACAAAGGATTCAATAAATTACATAAGCCTCAGGACCCTTTACTCAATAATGTTAGACTATTATTATACCTAGAAGGCAGATTTTTACCTTTCTCTATTCTCATAAAGTACCTTCCCTCTTCCCCATATATCAAATAGAGACAAGGCAATGTGCTGGACACTGCAAAGAAATCAAAGATTTTTGTTCCCAAGCTATATTTTCAAAAGGAAAAAGAAACCCACATTTAAAATAAAAAGAAATAAGTTACACACAAAATGCTATGAGAATCCAAGGGAAGGAGATCTGGAATAGTTGGTGAAATAAAAGCTTCATAGAAAGAACAGTATTTGAGGTAGACTCTGAAAAAGGATAGAATTTAGTCAACAGATGTGTGGAGAAACAGAAGATGAATTAAACCTCAAAAAATGAAAATTCAGAAGCTGGATGCAATTTATTTTATCTAGGCTTAGTTGCTCTCAAGTCCTACTAAAGTAGGAAGCTTTTCCCAACCATAATTCATCCTGATACTTCTTAGAGTTACCTAGAATTACTGTCTATCTAGTATTTTTGGAATCTACATACTTAATTATAAATGCTAAAAAAAATAAGCTTCACAGGTACTTTAGATTACCAAATAGAAAAAAACTTTGGACTGGCTTAAGAGACTAATCAAATTAGTATTAGGACGTATCTACATTAATCAAAAAAAGGGAAACGAAGAGTTGCTGAGCTCTAACTCATAGTTTAATCACCAAGTGAATGCAAGGGACTCAAAATATATACTGGTATGTACTTCAAATTTTAAAACATGTACTCAATATAAAAGTCTTCATTAATAAGCTTCCAGAAAATACCATATATGATCATAAATTATTAAATTTCAGGGAAATTACCTTCAAAGCTGTTAAAAGAATAACACCAACACCTGTATTTCTGTTGATCTAAGTATGCAGAAACACTGAAGTTATTTATCTACCATAGAAGTGGTCAAAAACTCTATTTCCACACATTTAAGTATCAAAGAGACAGTCTTCCATTTTTCTATATTTCCATACAGTATACCTAATACACAACTCTGAATAAGGTAAATCCTCAGAGAACTGGTAATTCCACTATTCACTCCACCCCGCCCCCTAATCATGATGAATAGGTTTAAAGCATGGCTTGTTTTGTCAAATACTTAACACCACCACAATATTAATTTGAAAGTCTGCTTATCATCTAATGAGAAAAGTGATGAAACTACCAGAATCACCCACAAGCAAAAAGCCCATTTCATGATAATCTGTCTGAAAATATATACCTATTACACCTTAAGTTCCATACAGATTCCTAAATTACGAGATACATTTAATCTAGAGAACCCTAGAGAGCTTCTTTACTGAAAACCTTTCAGTGAAATTCCAGTAATGATCACAGTATCAAGACACACCATAATTTTTCTGCTATGCAAGTAAGTTAACACTTGTAAGCCTTAGTTCTGATACATTAATGCCTTTCTTAAGCCTTTCTCACCAGCGTTCTGAATACATTATAAACACCTAATACGAAACAATTCCAAATGATGTCCAAATGCTTAGCCAAAGTATGTATACTGGAAGCAGGGTGATTTCTTAACAGCTGCACATGACCTAGTATCTTATGACCAGCTTGTTGAAAGACTCGCCCCAGCTCCCTCTTCTCCAGGTTAACTGCTAGCTCCAGCCATTTCTAAAAGTTTAACAGGAATGGAGAAGGAAGTAAAAAAACAAAAACAAAAACAACAAAAAAACCCGCAACGTGAATCTTCTTACAACTTGAATAAAAAACACCCCCCATGCACTATTAAAAGAAAAGACTACCCACCTTCTCTCTTCAAAAGACTCATCGATTGTAACTAATTAGCCTTAGAGTCGTACAAATGAACTATCTGCTTTGTTAAAATTTTGAAAGAGAAGTTATAAAAGATACAGGAAAGGTAGTATTACTGCAAGAATATTTTATTAAATAATGCTCTCCTTCCTGGACTATAAAGGTCAGCCTCCATTCCAACATGTTCCAAGTTACTATACATTTTTATACCTACTACGTGGCGATTCAATAGCTCTTTTCCGAATAGGGGTAAAGGGCGAGGGAATAGGTACAAAAGTCCTCCTCAGTGAGATCTCTCCCTTACATCTAATCTGGCATAGTTTTCCACCCCAGATTTTATTACCAAGTCTAGGTGCGACGGCTTCTGTCTAAAACAGCCGCATTCCCAGAACCCCCTAACCCTACCCTGCTGGGCATCTCCGCACTAACCACATTTGAGGTCCAACTTAACATTGCTCCCATACCCAGTTGTTCGGACACTGCCGTGGCTCAACCCGGATTCCTATACCCAGGAGAGCTGCCGCCCCGAGTCCCAAGTCATGGTGCGCATCCCGCTCCCTAACTGGATCCGGCGTTGGGACAGGTTTCCCCCAGTCCTCGGCGGCAGGCCACTGCCGACACCCAGGGCAGACAAGAAGGACAGTCCCTTTCCCTTTCCCCACTCCACCCCTAACCCGGGCACTCCAGCGGCAGAACTCTGCCCTGCACCCCGGCGCATTCTGCAGCCTCCGCCCCGGGACAGACCGTACATCCCGCCCAGCCCCACCCCATGCCCTCAGAGGCTTGCCTCGCGGCAGGTGAGTCTGGGCCAGGGGCCCTTGGCCCCGCGGGTTGCTCACCTTGCTGAGGACCCCACAGCGCTCCACAGGCGGTCCGGACTCCGTCTCCGGATCCTCCTCCGAGCCCGAAGAGTTCCAGCTCTGGTTATCCGACATGGAGGCGCGACAGACGCGCAGGAGACCGACCCCCGCTCCTAGAGCTGCGCCGGAGGAGGCGCCCAGTCCCCGGGGTGAAATGTCGAGGGATGGCGAAGGGAATAGTGCCCGCTCTGGTGCCGGGGGTTGCCGGAGGTGGGACGAAGTCCGCCCCACGCGCCGCCGCCGCCGCGCCTGACACCGAGCGGACAGGGGAAGGAGGACAAGCGGCGAAGGAAGCCTGCCCTTCCAGCCGTCAGCCGCTGCCGTCGCCGTGACCCCTGCGTTGCGACCGGCGCCGCCACCCGAACTCAGTTCCTTCGATGCCAATCTCAAAAGGAGAAGAAAAGGGGGAGGAAGAAGAAAAGAGACAAACCAACTGCAGAGACCCGGGTCCACTCACACCTCTGTTCCCGCCGCCATCTTCCTGCCTGGCCCACTATTTACCCTTCCCTCCCCTCTTCCCTCCTCTTCGTCCTCCCATTCTCCCCGGTTCTCCGCCCGGTCCCCTCCCAACGTCTGACGCAGCACGCCAAAGGCTTGGGGTCCCTCCCGCACCCTACCTCCTGCCCTCCCGGGTGACGCCTGATAGAGAAGTGGGAGGAGCGGAGAGAGATGGGCTGGGAAAGCCGCTGTGCTGCATTCTGGGAGGGCCAGATCTGTCAGCCGCGTTGCCTCCTGGGAGTTGTAGTCGCAATTCTGAGTCGACTGGTGAGTTTATCCCCGGTAAGTCTTGTTGTCTTGGGGACGATCTTGCGTTGGTTGGGCTTTGTTTGACAGGTGCGTGAGTGGTTCCCTCCGCCGCGCTTCTCTTTCAGCCTAGCGTGTTTATGACGAACCCGCCGGGCTTGCGGGGCCGGACGTGAGCTAACTCTCCGCTGAGGATGCCGGGCCTGCCTTCCTAAAAGCCCGGGAGCATTTTGCCGCTAACTTGGGCTAGTGTGTACTGGACCCTTCCGCCTCAACCCAGGGCCAGCGGTCTGAGACCTTTGTAGTGACAAAGGGTTCCCCCAAACCACCTCTGCAAATTTCGATTGTCTTTCATCTCGCTCTTTAGAAATTAGACTTTACACTTGACGTCCCGCTTTTGAAGGAGAAATTTTTCAGTTCCTTCTCACCAGAGCCAACACTTCGCATGGTTAGATTTCTAGAGTTTTATTTTGTGGAAAGTAATTATGAAAGTACCAGGGAATAAATCATGCCTGAAGAATTTTCAAAGTAAAATAGGAATGTGAGGTGATAGCCTGGTATTTCCTTTTAGCTGTGAGTGTCTTCCTGAGACTCAGGTTAAACATCTCTACCAACCTACTACCGCTCTCTGAAAGATAAAAAAAAAAGGTTGGAATAGAAACTTGGTTCGCTAAGAATGACCACAGTGCACTAGACGTTGAACACCAAGGGATTAGGGAATAGGAGGCTAACTTTTTTTTAAAGACTAGAATTAGTGGCAAAAGCAATAGAAAGTCTAGCAGATCTTATCTAGTCTTTTTTGCATTTATTATAAGAACAACTTTAATTATGAGATCTTGATCTTTGTAGTTTCAGGTCTTTCTTTTGCTACTTTTACAATTTTGTCAATTTCTTATAATTGCCAAAAATAAAATTTATTATTAAACCATAGAGAAAATCCCAGTTTACTGTATAGGAGTGAAATTTTGAGTTTGGTGGAAAAGGCACTGCAGCCAAAAATAGCAATGATAGCTATAGAGACCAACTTAACTGGGATCTTAAGGCAAGAATGGAATGATGGGATGTGTGTCAGAAAAGTACTTATCTTCCATTCCCAAGATTGACAAAGATGCTGAATCTGCTGTAAAGAAGTTACACATCGCTTTTCATGGTAATCAAGCGATCAATGAAAGTCATTTAGATGAATAAAATCTTGATATAAAGCTTTTGAAGATACTTTGTCAACGTGATAATTAAAACATAATTCCAAAGTTGTCATTCAAAAGAGAAAAAAATTAGCACATTTTTCCTCTGTATTGAATTACTAAATTACACCTTTAGAATGTTGAATGCTATAGCAATTAAGTTTTGCTTTGCTTTGCAATTACCTAATATAGTTAGACTTTCTATTTCTGATTTTTTTAAGCTTGGGTTTTAAAATGTCATTAGTCTTAAGGAAATTATTGTGGACTGTTGAGAAATTCACTTCATAATGCAATTTAGAATCATGGGAGAGTAGTATATCTTTAAATTGAATTTTCTGTTTTATTTTATGCATTTCTAGGCCATGCTGGGTACTAAGGTGCCCACTTACTCAACAGAAATTGTTTCATTTCATTTAGTATTAATATGAGAAAAATTTCCTGTTTTTCTTTTTATTGAATTTGTTGGGGTGACACTGGTTAACAAAATTCTACAGGTTTCAGGTGCACAATTCTACAATACATCATCTGTACACTGTATTGTGTGTTTATCACTCCCAGTCAAGTCTACATCCAGCACCATTTATCCTCCCTTTACCTTCCTCCACTTCCTCCCCAATCACCACACTATTGTCCATGTCCATGAGTTTTTTTCTCTTGCCTTTTTTTGCTCAGTCCCTCCATCCCCCCGCCCCACGACACACATAGCTGTCAGCATGTTCATCTATGAGTCTGCCCCCATTTTGCTTGTTAGTTCATTTTGTTCATTAGATTCCACATCTGAGTGAAATCATATGGCATTTGTCCTTCTCTGACTGGTTTATTTCACTTAGCAAAAGGTTCTCAAGGCCCATCCATGCTGTTGCAAAGCATAAAATTTCCTTCTTTTTTATAGTCAAGTAGTATTCCATTGTGTAGCTGTACCACAGCTTTTTTTTTATACAGGTGTCTGAGGGCTTTGTTTTGAGATTGTACTCCTGACAGTCACTGCCAGCTTTCATTGGTGTCAAGAAATTTCTTTTTAAAAAGATACTTGCCACAATCTTTTTTCATATTTAAAAACTATTTAAATTGTTTTTTAATTTAAGAAGGATTTTTGTATACTGATTAGGATAGAATACCACATTAGAGGTTGGGATTCATTTCATTTCAGTTGATGGGAATGCAATACAATAATAAAATATATGTCCTTTCTCTTTATTCTGTGGTGTGAGTGACAGCTTCTGAGTTGTCTCTTACTTAGAGTGTTTCCCAACTTTCTTAAAAATATTTCTCATGGTAATTTTTTTTTAACTTTTAAACTTGAATCCACCTGGGATTTATTTTTGTATATGAAGTGAGGTAGGAATTTGTTTTTTAAGGACAGCCACTTGACCCAACACTTTATTGAATAGTCTGTTCTTATCCTTATATCTATGTGATATGTAAAATCCATATATATTTGTATATATGCATCTTTTTGGGGACTCTCTTCTTTTTTAAAATAATTTTTTATTTTTTAATTACAATTGACATACTATATCATATTAGTTTCAGATGTACAACTTAGTGAATTGACATTTATATAACTTATGAAATGATCACCCTGATAAAGCTAGTACCCATCTGACACCATATGTAGTTTTTACAATACCATTGACTATATTCCCTGTGCTTTATGTCACATTTCCATGATTGTTTTGTAACTACCAGTTTGTACTTCTTAATTCCTTCCCCCTTTTCACCACCCCCTCCAGCAATGCCCTCCCATCCAACAACCTTTAAAATGTTCTCTGTATCTTTGAGTTTGTTGCTGTTTTATTTGTTTGTTTATTTATTTATGTATTTAGATTCCACATATAAGTTAAATAATTTGGTATTTGTCTTTCTTTGTCTGACTTACTTCACTTATCATAATATCTCCTAGGCAAGATTTCATTCTTTGTGTGGCTAATATTCCACTGTGTATATGTACCACTTCTTTATCCACTCATCTATTGATGGACGATTAGGTTGCTTCTATATCTTGACTATTGTAAATAATGCTGCAGTTAACATATGGTGTATATGTTTTTTCAAAGACATTAGTGTTTTGGGTTTCTTCTGATGAATATGGAGAAGTAGAATTGCTGAGCTGGACTTCATTCTTTTTCATTGATCTGTTTGTCTATACCTGTGTTAGCACCATACTGATTTAATTACTTAACTTCATATATCTGTATATTTATATATCTATGCACCTATATAGATATATACAGCCCTATATATCTCCAAAATTCTCCCAATTTTTTTTGCATTTGGATATTTTTGTGTATCTTCTCTTCTAGATGAATTTTAGAACAGCTTGCAAATTGTATGAGATATTCAGCTGGGAATTAGATTGAGAAAGCACTTAACTTGTGAAGAAAATAGTGTCTATACAGTATTCTTATCTTTGGCCAGGCACTTCATACACCTAATCTGACTTATTCCTTACATATAAGGTGAATATTATTGGCCTCATTTTAAGGAGAATGAAACTGAAGTCAACCCAGTGTCATATAGCTTCTAACTGGCAGAATTAGGATTTGAATACAGATCTATATGACTTGAAAGATCAACTATTTTCTTTGCTCCAGAATACCTCTATAAAAGGAAGAATCATGTGAATAATAACATATACTGTAGATAAGCATATCAGAGCAGCTGTGCTCTTAATTCAGCTAATGATTTGACCATCAATTTATGCTATTTAATTTATCCCCATTTTAGAATTTATTATGTCCATTTCTGATATTTTACATGAAGAAACTCATCCACAGTGAAGTTGAATAACTTTCTGAAGGTAATAGCTAGTAAAAAGCATAGTTGCTGTTTGAGCCCAAATATCCTGATTGCAGTGTTCCTTCCCATCCCACTAGAGTCCTGTCTCCCACACCTTCTCATTCTCTCAGCTTTTATCTCCACTAAACACCAGCTCCAAAGCCTTCATCTTGGCCCTCCACTCTCACTGCCAAGATGCTGAAGCCAAACAAAACAAAAGTAAAACAACCAGAGGTGTTGGAAGAAGAATGTTTGCAATTTTACTGATTAGCAGGTAGAGCAATGAAGGGGAATATTTGCTCTTGATTCTAGAACTATAGCAAGGGAGGATATCCTAAGTTGAAATAGAAAATACTACTTTTTCAAAGATAATGCTATAAAGACCCTTTATTAGTCAGCTCAGGCTGCCATGCAAAATGACTGGGTGGCTGTGGTCTTTCTTCCTCCTCTCATAAGAACACCAGCCCTGTTGGTGAGGGCCCCACCCTTACAACTGTGCTTAACCTTAATTAACTCTTCATAGGGAGAGTTAACTCTCCCTATGAAGTATTTGGAGAGTTCTTAATTAACTCTCCAAATATACATTGGGAGCTAGGGCTTCAAATGTGAATTGTGGGAGAACACAATTTAGTTCATAACAGAGCTTACAGGTTCTATATTCCCACAGTATTTGTTATGTTAAAGATGTGTTTTGAGTTCCATAGTTCTGTTTAGCTAACCCCGGAATTTAATAGTTTTTTAATTGTGCTTTAATTGTGCTTTTTCAAACTGAAACATAACCAGCTAAAAATTGGGGATTTACCTAAGAAACTTGATTTTGCAAACTTAGAAACATTGATCTATGTCACAGAGGTAATAATCCATGAAGAGCAACAGTCTAATACACTAGAGGACAGATGAGCATGTGACTAATACAGCTGATGTTTTTTGCCCTTTATTAATGTCTTGAATAATTATCTGGATGATGAAATTATGGACCATTTGAATATTCTTTTTTATACTGATTTGTATGAAGAAAAAACTATATAGGTGTATGTATGTGCATGTGTATATGTATCACTTGTGATAGAAGAA